TTATGGATATGTGAAGTGTATTTAATTTTAATGACAAACAAATAAATTAATTTCTAGTATTTTTCAAAAGCACTTCCAGCATAAGTATAATCCGATTTATATTATAATATTACGATAGTTTTCTAGTGCCGGTATATTTATTGTTTACTCGCTCATTTAAATGTGTATTTCCATATAAAATTATATTTATTTTTGCGAAACACTTTCAATGGTATTTAAATGAGGATATATTGTCGCTTACACTTACTTTTTTGTGTATTGTTTGCCATAAATCATAATTTATTATATAAATATACCCTGGTATTGATTTTTCCCATGTATTTCGATGAGCACAAAATGGGCTAATATTTTAGGATTAAAGTGTGCTGAGCAATTTTCTAGGCTACTGTGTATTGTCAATAATAATATAGTTTATTATTTTACTGACTATTCCCAGATATTCTGTAGTATACACTGAATCGGAAATTCTGATGAGAATATTCTGTATATACTGCTAACACTACTAAAGGTTATACGATATATTTTCGTGACGGGTAATTTTGCGCAAAATGATTGCCAAAAATGATTTTATATATTGTTTGTGTGATTTTCATTGTCTCTCATATTTCTACGACTTTTATCGATATGTAGGATAACCTGCTGTCACCTAACCTTCCAAAGCAAATGGTTATACTCCAAGAACTGCACACTATTTATAGGGCTTACTGTTTATGAGATTTTATACTTGTATTCAATTTTATAATTGTGTTCAAGAAATGCCTTCTTATGTAAACTTACGGTGCATTTCTTAAGCAAACAAATGAACGACTTTTTATTGTTATTAAGAATGAGTTAACAGAATATCGCTATTATTATAGGCATACAACACATATCATACCTTTTCATCGATAATAATACTGTCATTGAGATTCAGATTTTTATTATACTTTAATGAGTGATTATTTTATTGGTGCCATAAATAATTCACGAGAATAGGATTGCAGTCTTATTTTTGTTTGCAAATCATATGAATTGCGGTAAATATTATTGTGTTTGAGATAATGATAAGTATTTAAGTGTTATTTTAGAGTATAATTAGTTTAATATTCATGGATTCCGTAATAAACAGATTGTAAAAACTTTTTATCCATTTGTGTATTCAGTTGAATGCCATTGGGCTGCCGTTTGGAAATGTGGCCATCGATTCATAAGAGCCCACAAATTCCTAGACTTAATCGGGAGTCGAGATTCATTTGATCCCAAATGTGCCCTCAGATCAGTAAGTCTTATTATCACAAAAAAATATCAAACAATTTACTGACCTATGAATCCCTTTCCTCTCATTCGTAGGCATTCTTCGTATGTCTGAAGACCTCGAAAGCTAAGTACTGTCACAAACATACACAACAAAGCCATACCAAAAAGTTTCGCAAACGACTGGCCGATACCCTGTGGTCTACCCGCGCCTGTCTTGTCGGCAACAAAAACAGCGTTATTTCCTATTGAATGAATGGGACAGCCTTTCTTCACTACACTTCATAAGCCATACTATAATTTCCAATCCATTCCATGAATACCATTCCATAGTCCGAAACGGCTGGTGACACACGACCTGGGAAACAGTAGGGGCACAGTATTGTGAGAGACATTGCCTAAGATACTGATTGTGCCAAAGTTCAAACTAAATTCAACCTATATGTGCCCTAAATGTCTGTCCCAATGTATAATTGATACTTAATTATCGGTATTTTTATATATTATATGTTTTAAATTTCTAGTTACTGTACTATTATTATAACACTATAAAACCTCACTATATTTACAGCTATTGTATAATCAATTTAATCACTGATTAATTTTTGCAATTTCGACATTTATTTGCAATAAAATTGTTTCAACTGTTTTGCAACACATTAACCAAAAACATGAAAGCAAAAATATAAAAATTGTTAAAATATAATTCGCACATACAGTAAATTATCATTTTAATACATAATTTCAGTCTTAATTTTGTTTCTTTTGTAAACTATTTGTGAGATTACTATCGAGATTACAGTAAATCCATTAAAAACAACAAATAACTTATAATTCAAATATAACTTATATAATAAACTATAAATTATATTAGTTTTCAAAATAAATGCGTTTCTTATATACTCTTAAAATGTTGCGATAAAATGCAATAATTATGTTAATTTAATTAAAAGTAAACCACAATTAGATCAACGGATACAACACTGAATGGTTAAGCCGTGGCGTCAGTGGCGGACTCGGCGGCCGACTGTTCCAGTATTACCTCGAAGGAGAAGGGCTGAAACGAATAGCCCGACCCGCTGTAGAACTTGCTCTGAAACTCGACCCTAAAAATCAAACAAAACAGACATTAGTTAACCTAAAGAATAAGCAAAAACCACTCGTAAATGGCATACCAGTGCAGTCGAAGGGCGTGAAGAAAAGCGCTCAACCCCTCCATAACCAACAGAACGCTGACCGTAAGTCCGGCCCAAAAGCCAAATACGATATACATTAAAATACCACCGGAAATGCCGGTGCCGTTCAGACCGATCGTCATAACCATCGACCACAACACCTCCGACAGCTGTGCGTGAGCTAAGCTGAGAGCCCATAGACGCAGGTAACTGGCCGTATGGGATATGGAGCCCAAACAGTACTCAATCGTATGAATGGCTTGATGTATGAAGATCTCCTGCATATCGAAGGTACCGGAGCCGTGATCGCCGCCGCCATGACTCGCCGGCTCAATGGTAATACTGGTGTCGCCCACAGCCTCCCCGTCCACGAGCACCTCATTGCGCGGGTGGAAGCGCTCTCTCAACTCGTGCTGCTTCTTAAGGATGTATGGCTTGACGAACAGCATCCATGGTATGCATGAGAGCGCCGACAACAACAGTATTGTCTGGAAGAACTTCTGCCCGGCGTACCAGTCCTTGAGATAACAGGCGGCGCTCGTGTCGTCGTCGGCCACGTATTTGTATAGAAACATATTAATGAGATTTATTAGTATGGATGGCGCGCAACCACTTCGGGTGGAGTCGTATTTAAACCATTTCGCAAATATCATGAGATTCATGTAACCGAAGATCGACATCAAGAATATCATTTGCGGTATGAATTCGCACATTATGTTCAGCCGGTTCTGGAAATATCTGTCCATAGAAATGGCGGATTAGTTGAACGCTAGTAATAAGCATTGAACTCAACACTCACTTATGGTTCCATAGACTCAACATTACACCGAAAAACATTTGTCCGACGCCTAGTATGACCGACAGTTTCATTTTGTATGAGTTCAGGAACAGGATCTTATTGTCCGACACCTGCCATACCTGTCATAAAATCACAAAAAAACAAGAGTTTAAAAAGCAATTCAATTAACCATTCACTGGATGGCATACCGGGTCGATACCAAAGAAATAGGGCCCCCCGTCGTACTGGGTCTGGGGGTTGAGTACGTAATGGCTGTGATTGTATTGGTTGCGGTACGGCTTGTAGGCCTTCCACGACGACCCGAATATGTTGAGCGCCTTCGAGAATATGTCGTTATATATGAGTCCCGTGTAGATGGAGAAGCAGCCCATCAGTAGTATAATGTATCGGCCGTTGAAGAATGTCAACCATATCTCGTTTGTGGACTTCTGTTGAATGAGATTACGTTCCTTCAGAACCATCCACAGCCCGAACAAAGCCATTATAATCCCGTGTCCGGCGTCGCCAAACATCACCGCAAACAGGAACGGGAATGTGATTAACGTGAACGGCGCCGGATTCACCTCCCGATACGTGGCCACACCGTACGCGTCCACTATGTTCTGGAAGCCACGGGTCACTGAAATAGCACCGGGAGATTAGATAAAGAGTAATGTTGTATTGATTTACAAGTACAAACTAGTTGAAAGTAATTGTCAAACAAATGAATCAATAATAATAAGACAATGAATCAGACGTTTCACAGGCTAACCATCATTGGCTGTAAACCTCCGGTGGAAACCGCGAATGTTTTGGGAATATTTTATCATCACTTTCATTGTCTTTTTGCGCCACTAGTCGGACGCGAACTCATACCCTCTCACTCATACACACCCTTATGTTAGCCCATTAGACACACTATTTATGTTTTATGCACTGACCTTAAAATAGCTATACTTTTGTGTATTCAGTAAATGTTTAGTAAAACTAATTATAAACTCATTTAAACTATAACTCAAAGTTATAGACAACAGACAATACCTTTATTAGTGCGGTTATAAGTCGGGGGCACCTCATGGGTGTCCATCCGATTGAGAATAGAGGGCACAGTAGAGCCGCTGCGCTCAGTGCCTCTCCTCAGAGCCATTTGGATGCGTTCCAAGTCATCCACTGCTGACCAGCACTCGGCGATCAGACACTTCTGAGTGACGTCCAGATTAAACATATTGAGGGTGTGGTAAATGGCCTTAATTTTGCGCACTTTGACGAACCAGTTCTTGATATTCTTAGCGGCCGCCACCAACACCCGGTGCCTATGCTCTGTGGTCTGCGACAGCACTGTATTCAAGTCCTCGATCCGAGACACCACTCCACCAATCATTTCGCGTCTGTCCGACGGAGTCTCGGGACAGGGGTATAGAGTGGCCCGAAATCTATAAGACATTCATTATAATTGAGTCACTGGTGGGAACTGGAGGTATGGGCGCTGTGCGGGTGTCGTACATACCCCTCGCATATCTTCTTGACTCTGGACTTGAGTTGTTCCCCTTGGAAGAAGATAATGAACACAGACTTATAGACATTGTCTCCGGTGTGCGGGTCCTCCAGAGGCGTCTCGATCTCCGCCTGTCTTAAGAAGACATTCCCTCTGCAGACGCGCCAAAGCATGCGCTCAAACGACGGCAACCGTTCCCGTAGTATAACTCCGGCCACGAATCTGGCGTTAATCACACAAAATGGACGTTAATTTTCAACACATTTTCAAACATTAGCTAAACTTTACCCCAATTTCATGGCCTGTTGACCGCCAGCCCGTAGACCCTCGTCCCCCAAGAGCTGTATGTTCTCGTCCTGCATACCGGAGTCTTGCATCTGTATCGGTATGGGACCGACCTTATGATTGACAGTTCATTCACCGACACAGACATACACCACATACACACACAGGTATGACATACACAATAGGATTCATAATAACGCAATAATAAAAATAATAAAACATAAACAATAAACCCATAAAAACCAAACCAAAAATAAAGTGATTTTTTGTTCAGTGAATTTGGCGGCCATTAAGTGATACATAGATTTATTGGACAGAAAACGGATTTCAAATTTGACGCGAAAACAATTGGGGAGAAAATAATAGAAAAATTAAATTAAGATTTTGCTATTCATCTAATGGTTAAAGTAATAAACAGGTGTATAAGCAATAGCAATAGAAATTAGTGTCAATTTTCTCATTTATCATCTCATCATTGGATTAATGCATTCAATGCTAGGTTATCAATGAATTTATAATAAATTAAGACTTAATTACAATCAATAGATTCAATGAATTGACAAATAATAGCAAAAACTAGTCTACAATGAGATGAGAAATAATAAGAAAATTATAATTTGAATGAAAAAAGCGTTTTGAAAATTAGGACTTCGAGTTCACAAACACAGTGGTGGGGGAGAGGGTTAAGAGTGGGGTCGGGAGGGGAGGTTCACACAACATATCGGTTAAGATGATCACCGAATGAATACCTCATCGAAGAACTGTTGAGTCTTTTTCAAGATGTGTCGCAATTCAGACAACTCTAAGTATGTCTTCTTGAGTGCCTCGGCATTAGTGTTCACTTCCTTCAACTCATTCTCCAGTTTCTCAAACGTGGCCTAAAAATCACCATTAAATCAAACATACAATCAATCAATGGATCAGTTAATGAGTGGTGTTTGTGGTCTACTTCGAGATCAATCATCTCTCGCGGTTGCGGTGCCTCTGGATTGTCGCCGATGTCCAGCATAGGAATGCCGTCGCGTTTGATCTCCTTTTCCAGATATCCTTAAGAAGTGAACACAAGAATAATCATCAAAATTGTGGTCAATTATTACCACAAAAAAGACAATCAATTACTGAGTTTTCTCTCCATTTCATCGCAACGGCGGACTTCGTTCACAAACTTCCGCTGAAATGCATTGACGTCTGGATTCAACTGTCAAAGAGATGGGGCACAAGAGGTGGTGATTATGAGTGAATGGTATGGTAGGGGATAATGAGTGGTAATACATCTCTAAACTGAGTCAACCCGGTTTCGCCCAACTCGGAGACACAGTTATAGGCGGCCTCTGACTGCAGGAACAGCTGACACAAAGACATGGCTTCCGACCGGAATAGTGTACCCATTGTGGCGGCGGTGATGCACCCACTGGTCGGTGATAGGGGTGGCGGTGGTGGTGGGTGTGAGACAGTGGTGTGTAGTCCTCAACCACTGCAACAGATGTATGTCTTGTGCCCAACTGTGAGACAACTGCTCACTAAATGGCGATTCAATTGAATGAGAGTTTTATTGATTTTTTTTGACGACAATTGAGTCAATACTGCAATGAATGCAACGCTTATGTCATCGCAACCCACACTCACAGCAATTACGTTACGCTTAATGTTTGGCCCTCTTTTCGCACCCTTTCCTATAGTTTTGTATTGATTTGAATGAGAGTTTTGTTGGTTTTATATTGACGTTAAATATGTCCAATAATACGCCTATTGAGTGATTCATTGATTGAATGAAACGGAGTTTGTGTCATATAATTGGCGCTATTTATGAGTACATACTGAATATTCTTGAGTCTAATGTATTCAATATAACTAGAGACCGGAATCAGTGGAAAAAATCGTAGAAAATACACTGTTTGTAAACCGATTTGGGTTCAATATAGCCTGAGTGAACAGATCTATGGACTAATCCTTGTGCTAATCCCTGATAGTGTTTCGTTTTAATATGATGTGCTAATCACTGATAAGAGAGAGATTAAGTTAGATGTGTTAAACCCAAGTCATCTGAAAACAGTGTCTCTCTTATAACTATCATAATCAATTATTTTATTAAGTAACTTAAAATTAATTTACATTTAAATTAGAAATACACCAAAAAGTGAAGCATTTTCAGAAATTATAATCGGCACAGAAATACAGAATTTATGATTAAATGAAAACATTTAATACACAAAAATAGTTAACAGAAAACCAATGAAATAAACTTATTACGGTATTATTATAACTAAACAAATATTTAAACATTATATTATTATTGAGTATTTAACATTTAACAAAATTATATATATATTAATTATAATTGAAAATTACAGAAAAATTCAAACAATGTCATTTAAAGCACACAATAGGTTATCAGTAATTATTGAAATAAAACTTATGAAACAAACACCTAATTTAACTTAAAATTGAATGGACAGACATTCAGGTGATCCTTCAGTAACCCGTATTCAACCACTTCTTTACAGCCATTATCAGCGAAATTACATTTGACTTTCAATTTGCTGACCATTAAGTTGATTGGGATCTTTCGGAAGAGCTGTGGATTTCTNCCAAAAAGTGATGTTATACATCGTTGAAATCAGCTCGTTGAATCGGTATAGAAAATAACTTCTTGGGCTGGATTTACATTAATTATCTTCTATTGACCATGGAGGAATATTATCAGATCGAGCTCAAGAAGTGATTTTCTATACCTACAAATCGAGCTGATTCCAACGATGTATCACATAACATTGTCCGATGACCTGGAACCGCTATGGTGATAATTCATACCTTCACTTTCAATCCATCAAATCATTCCATTACAACACCCATCTATCTATTATGGTTCAAAAGTTATCGCAATATCAATATTTTGTAGGTAAACACCTGTAGGTCAAATGTCCCGTAGGTCAAATGACCCCCTGAAATCGTAGGTAAAACTGTAGGTCAAATGTCCTGTAGGTCAAATGTCCTGTAGGTCAAATGTCCTGTAGGTCAAATGTCCCGTAGGTCAAATGACCCAAGACCTTCTATAAATCTATAGAAATCTATAGAAATCTATAGAAATCTATAGAAAGTTATCATTTAATCATAAATTCTGTAGTTCTTTCCTAACTATAATCTCTAATTAAAGTGTTTCATTTGTTTTTCAATATGGCTTATTTTTAATTTAATTTTAATAATTTTAAATTAATTACAACTGAATACTAATTACGGTAATACATTGCAATTATTTATTAATGAACGACTTTAAGAGTTCAAAATTGATATAGACTTTGATGATATCATGTTTATTACTCAATAGTGCAGTGAATGAGAATATAATGGACTAGGACCTAGTCACTAGGTGGTCAGTGTGTAACTTAAACTTTATTATAACATTTAAAACATATTCACTGAAGCCTGTAACATAAGTGAGTGAATAGAGATAATACATGGGATTATATCAGTATAAGTTAGAATAGTGACTAATACGGGATGTATAAATGATCATGAATTTACATATCATTTACATTGTACAGTATATAATTTATAGCATTTCATATTTAAACATATATAAAATTCTCATTATCTGTTTTGACAAACATATTACAAAACATATACTTGAAATATTATAACAAATAGATCACTACAATAGATTACTGTACTGAGTTGAGTTAATTACCAACATACTAGTCAATCAACGTCACATAAATCAATGAGTAGGATCATTTAACCATCAGCCGGACTAGTTATTATTTGCTCACATACTTCGTCATAGAATTATGTAATCGTGTGATTAGATTTGGATTTTGAGTTAAAATCTTTGAATAACTAAATCATTTTCTTACATTTGATAGGAAATGAAAATTGAAAGCAAACAAGCGATCAATTATTTATTGAAGTGCAGTATATGTCTGCAAATCTTAAACAATGTTGTGATCATCAGATGTGGCCATACCTTCTGTCAGGAGTGCATCGAACCTATGGTTTGCGACAATCGATTGGTTTGTCCTGAATGTCGACTAATCATAAGAAATCCACAGCTCTTCCGAAAGATCCCAATCAACTTAATGGTCAGCAAATTGAAAGTCAAATGTAATTTCGCTGATAA